TCGGCTGTGGCCGGGGCCCCTTTGCCGGTCCCAGCACCTCCCCACATCATTGGGGTGTAGGCCCAACAGCTAGTTCTCCTCTCCCCGCTCGGTTCCCGGGACCCACACACCCACGGGGATGGGGACTGTCCAAGTCCTCCTTGTACGGGGCCTGTGTGTAACTTTTCACGTGTGGTTTCGCTGTGGTTTCACAAAACAACCGGCAGTCTCAGTGACGGCCAGTCAAACCTTGAGGAGGATGAGGGGGACTGTCCTCTCTATCTATCCCCCTCCTCAGGAAGCGTTATGCCATCAAACTATCCTCAACGCAGTGACAGTGGTTCCACGGAATGCTCAATAGAAACATAGTAGTAATATCAGATGTATTTGTAGCATCTTCGATCCACAGGCTTTCAAAGCACTTGACAAACTCTCTTGTGCAGAAATTGTCCCTCCCCCCCCCCCATAGGAGGGTCAGGAGAAGCGAGCGGGAACAAATTGGGCAGTTGGTTCTCTATTTCTCAGACCTGGAAGCCCCAAAAGAATGAATAATCATCACCCTGGGTTGCTTTACTATATAGGTGTTCGTGACTGCAGATGTATTCTGTTTAGAAACTTTTTAGTATTACTTTGGATCTTAGGCTTGCGGTGTTGAGTATACAGTGTTTAACTTTGGATGTCATATCTGATTCAGAGAGTCGGTGGCAAGCCTTTAAACTGGACTGGCGTAAGAGAAACTGGACACACTTGCTCGTGTCGCTACAGTAACACCTCTCTGTCAAGAAAGACTAGTAATTGATCTTTCTCTAAGACTAGAGAACGATCTTGCTTTTCCTTTCATAGAATCATAGACACATAATCCTGTGAGGAGGAAAAGGGAGGTGTGTACTCACTTCTTAAAGCATGATCTTTCTAAAGTGTAGTTTGCAGTGAGGATAGACTTTATTAATAATATAGTTGTCGTATTTAAGTAAGAAATTCGCCCAAGGAACTTGACCTTTCTGAATTCTTCAAATTTGAAACAATATACCTGATGCAAACTATGAAATTGTAATAACATAAACAGTAATGTCGATGTGTAGAGACTTCCTGCTTTATGTAAACAAGGTGGGATATACGCAGGAGAATTAAATGTTTTGAAGGGATTTTGTAATTTTGAAGTTTTTTTTCTAAGTAAATGTGAGAAACTACCAAGTAAGAAATGCCGACAAAAGAGCACTAATGAAGTTCACTAGCATGTTTTCCCATGTAAGGGAACAGTGTTATGAATTTGTGGGTAATGTTAGTTTTCCTACTGAATCAGTTCTGACCTTTTTAGCAGAATTTAGAATTATTTAGTTTTTTAAATAAGTTTATGCAACAAGTTTTCTAGGAAAAGTTTGCTATTCTTGGAGTGTGAGTTCTATTTCAGATTATTACTAAAATGTGGAATAGCTCACATTTGACATCTACTTATGCTAATGTTCTGATTAGATGGTTCTACCTTTATCTGTGTATTTTCAACTCAGTATCTTAGCTTGCTCCTACCTGTTCTCCCATTCCTTCGTTCATTCAACAAGTACTGAGTACCATGTGCCAGGCACTGTTTTAGGGAATAATTTTAAGTAGCATATGGTTATGAGCTAATTTGGACCCTTTCTGTCTCCACTTGTTGCCCTCTAAGTTTTTCTAAAACCCTTTAATGAAGTTTGTGACTAGTGTTTGATATTCAGTAGTTAATATCTGCTAATTTTTAAAAGTATATTTTATTATTTTATAATTAGTAACATCATACGTAGTTGCCAGTGACAAGAGCAATTATAGTTTTTTGATACATAAATTTTTAAGTCATAGGTCCTTGAGCCTTCAATAAGGAGAGAGATATGCCTCAGTGGTATGGTATTTCACATTGGTAAATGAGTATTTAGAGACCTTCAAAATTTTTCTTTTATTTCAGGTTAGTGATCTTTTGCTTAACTGTAGTCTGCATAAATTGGTAGTCAGAAGTAGAAAATACATAGTGTTCCATAAAGAAAAAATATTGCTTATGTGTGTACATATGTACATACAAATACTGTATTTTACCATTTGGATATATAGTTACTATAATTTAAGGGAAATTATAGTTTAGCCAAAGGTCTGAAGTGCTCATTTCAGATTCCATTTTATAAAATTGATGTGCAAAACATATAAAAATGTTTGGGGATTGTTTTGTTTGTATTGCAGAATAGAGTGATAAGTGAACTTATATTTTATACTCATGTAAGCCTATTCCAGACACAATCCCATCAGTAGAATCAGGTATTATTAGTGTTGTGAGTGCATATTTTTAAGTGTATTTTCATCATTGTTCACAAGAATAGAAGTTACACCATACCAGTTTTAGGCACAATTTACATTTTAAGTAGACCTTTTCATAAGATTTCAAGAGAAATTGGTTCTTTTTAAGGTGGAAAACAATAAGCAACTTTCTGTCTTTATACATTGTTGATGGAGGAAAAGTTCCAGTTTTTAAGCTTTCCTGCAGTGTACAAAGTACATACATCATTTAACATCTTTCTGGTTTTTGGGTACCCAAAGTAACAGCAAGGGCCACAAAACTATTTTAAGGAAGGAGGCTATAAGTTGCCAAACTCCTGAAAACGAAGTGGATTTGGACCAGAGAATGCTGCCCCAAGGAGTTTCTACTCTTCTTCCCTTGATGTTGCCATGTGTCTCAACCCTGAGCTTTTGTTCCACTATGTAGGATTAGTTACTGTCAGATGAACCTTTTGTCCTTATCTCTGAAAAACCATTCCTCACCATCTGTACTGTCCAGGGTTTTGTCCACATGAGCTCGGAAAGATTGATTGGATTGAAGGGGATATATTTGAATGGAAGTGCTAGCCTCTCTTCTGATTTGCCTTAATTGGCTTAGCCTTCAGAGTTAAGACACATTTTGAAAGTGATTGCCTTTAGAATATGATCTGGAAATGGGTTCAGTTACTAGTTTATAAAGCATGCTAATCATGATAAAGAATCTCTAATTGTGATGTCCACTCCATAATTCTAGATGAGATTACCAGAGCTCTACCTGTGTGGCGGACAGGGAATGATGTGGAGGTTACCATTAGATGGAACCCATAAAGTGACTGACATTAGTAAGAGATTAAGTTTTAAAATTATTTTTTATGTATTTAAGGTCACAAGAACTTAACGACTAATGGGTACTGTTAATGTTTTTGTTTTTCCAGCTACATATTTGCCAGATTTGGGGAAACAGCTTTGATCTTGATAATAGGTTTCTCTTCCTTAGGGAAAGTAATTGTTGCTTATAACTACCAGGACATACATACAGGAAAGCTGAATAATAGTCTTGCAAGTTACACAGGGTAGGGAATTAATTGTAAGTTTGTTTTTCATTCTTTAGTATCTTCTTATAGAGAAATCCTGGAGTAAGGTGTAGAATATTTATTAAAGTGTTGCTTATACTTAGACTGATTCTTCCTTTTTAGTTGTTTTAGGACAGCCCGCTATGTTGTAGCTGTTAGAAGTTGAAAAATAAAAGCATAAAATAGGTACCTATAACATGTTTATTTTGCATTATCTTCCTAGATGGCAGTTCAGAGGAACCTGGAAAATCATTAGTATCAATATTAAATTTGAAACTATTTTTGGTAGTATAGAATGTAATGTGAGAATTTGGTCTTTTAAATAACACATAAATCACAAGGTTGATTCATTCAAACAAAATAGAGAAAGCTTTATTTGTTTGCACATCATTTATTCATTAAATTGAAAAACAGCATTTCTCTAATTTAAGAAGACTATATAATTAGGACTAGAAAAAATAGTATGCCTTTCCT